TGTTTATTTTGTTATTGGGACTAACCACAAAAAACTTGTAAAAGACATGAATCTAAGGGATTTAGCATGAAAAAACTCTTTATCAAGATAGCACTTATTTTTTGTCAAGGGTGAAGTAAACACACAGAAGATGAGAATTAAATTCATAAAATCCTGCTGATGGTTCGATCTGCCCATATATCAAGTAAAGCATTAAAAATAAAATTTTTGATTTAATAATTCCACTTCCACAAAATTAATCCAAAGAAAATGATCAGTGATAGAAATAAAACTGTTTAGGCCAGGTGAGGTGGCTCACGCCTATAATCCTAGCATTCGGGGAAACCGAGGCAGGAGAAGCGTTTGAGCTCAGGAGTTCGAGGCCAGCCTAAGCAAGAGCAAGACCCCATCTCTACTAAAAACAGAAAGAAAAAAAGGGGGGCCAAGCTCAGTGGCTCACACCTGTAATCCTCACACTTTGGAAGGCGGAGGCAGGAAGACTGCTTGAGCTCAGGAGTTTGAGACCAGCCTGAGCAGGCTGGGCACAATGGCTCATGTCTGTAATCCTAGCACTCTGGGAGGCCGAGGCAAAAGAATAGCTTGAGCCCAGGAGTTTGAGGTTGCTGTGAGCTGGGCTGATGCCACGGCACTCTAGCCTGGGCAACACAGTGAGACTCTGTCTCAAAAAAAAAAGAGAGAGACAGACCAGCTTGTGCAAAAGCGAGACACTGTCTCTACTAAAAATAGAAAAACCAGCCAAGTGTCATGGTGCACACCTATAGTCCCAGAGACTGAGGCAGGAGTATCGCTTAAGGAGTTTGAGGTTGCAGTGACCTACAGTGACACCACTGCAGTCTATCCCAGGCCACAGAGTGAGACTCTGACTCCAGAAAGAAAAAAAAGAAAAAAGAAAATAAGTACATAAAATATTTGGCATGTTACATTTTGATACAGACCATGAAGGAAAATTAAGCAAAGAAGATAGGGAGGGAGGAAGGAGTGGGGGATCAGGAAAAGTCTTTACATTGGTACTCTGAAGTTTTGTTTGACAGTGTTTTGTCTGTTCGGCCCAGTGTTTTATCCAAAACTTGAATTAAGGTAACTTTAGCAGAGGGCTACCTATATTATTAAATTTAGAACAGCTTTTAAAAATCTGTATTACTAGATTTTTATAAGAAATAACACGGGGCTTAATTCACAATTTGCACTTCACTTTACAAAAGGGTTAGTGGCAAGTAAACAGAAATCTTAGCCCACTTAGGAGACTGGAAGATGATTAATTAATCTAAAAATGATTTACTTCTACATTAACTGTATCACATCCTTTTTAATTGCTTTGGTGATTTTGTAATACACTTCTTTATTCTAAATATAAAAATAGTCTAAGACCTACTGATTCCACAGACCTTAAAAAGTTTAAGCTTATAGCCCCTCATGGTCTGTCCATAACACAAATTTCAAGCTCTCCCATCTTTACACCTGCTGCCAGATATAAATAAATCTCTTCATTATATGTGTCTCTTATTGAACATTATGTTTTATATTATTCATTACAAAAATGATGACCTTAGTAAACAGAATGTCACTATTTGTCTGATTTAGAGTTACACACTGATTCAATGTTATCACTCTAAATCTTGATTCTCAAGAACTCTGCATACAACTCCCTGCCTCAAGTTTCACAATAAATGTAATGTTACATGCAGAAAAACATGGCAGCAATCTCATCCAAACTGC